TATGTGGGACCATGTCATGCGAGGCACGGTGGCCAGGGGGCCTGGTGAAGGTGGAGGGAAGACCGGTGGCCGTGCTGGCCTTCAGCCTTCCGAGGGGCAGTCCTAGGAGCAGTCCTGGCAGACTGCTCGGTGGAGGCGGCCCGCATTCTCCTCCCTCTCCTGGGCAGTGCACAGCCCTTACACTGGCCAGTCCTTAGGTAATTTGCAGTGGTGGGCGGGGCACGGGGGGCAGGGACCCTTCGAGGAAAGCGATTTTCACTGAATATAAAGCAAAACCTGCCTTCCAGCCTTGCATTAGCTTATTCACTGCCTGTAGCCGCTCGATTCCTAAGCCACTGCCTCACGGTCATTCCTTGTGCCAGGCCCTGAGCCAGAGCCAGATGTCAATCATATCCATTTCTCAGAGGGGAGGCGGGGCAGGACTTGGGTTTGCGTCATCACCTCCACTACCCGGATGAGAAAGCAGAGGCTCTGGGGAGCTGGGAGGTTTGTCCGGGGTCACCCAGCTGGCAGGGAGCAAAGCGTTCACTGGGGCTGTAAACGTGTTGAGTGTCCCGGTGCCCGGCATTGAGCAGGGGGTTCGAGCCCAGGTCTGCGAGACACCGGAGCACCCCCGTCATATCCAGCAAGGGTCTCGGGGCAGGCGGGGTTCCCCACTCCCGGCACACCCTGCCGGGGGCTGGCAGTGGGCGGCTTGGGGCTGTGCCGCAGCTGCTGCAGCCAAGCCGTGTGACCCGGGGTGGGTCCCGTCTCCTCTCCAGGCCTCAGTTCCCCTGCTACAGGCGAGGAGGCTGAGCCGGCGGTTCTCCAGAGCCCCGTCCAGGTCGGACGTTCCTGACGCCCCTGGTAGACGCCGTGGGCAGAGCCCCAACCCCGCTCTGTCTGCTGCAGTCTTGGCTTTTTGCTGGCAAGAGGCAGGTGCTCCAGCTGGGGTCGCTCTGAGCACCTGCACCGTCCACGCAGCAGGTGTGGGCGGAGGCCCTACTGCGCGTCGGGCTGCGTTCCTCCCGCTGGGGAGAGAGGCGCTTTCCTCCAATCCGGCAGGCGTCAGATGCAGCTTAGCACCTCCTGGGGCTGGGGTCCCTTGCGGGGCGCTGGGGTGAGGAGGTGAACTGGACAAACTCCTCTAACCTTCTAGCACTTTGGAGGGTCTGGTGGAGCCTGAAAACCAAACGTCTACTGCCACATTTTGGGGGAGGAATAAGGCAGGGGGCCAAAGTCGGCCTCCAGGGGACTGGCCGGATGGATCCGGGAAGGGGTGGGCCCTGTGGCGAGGTGCTGTGGAGCGGCCTAGGCCCCCGTCCCGTGGCTGGGTCATGGATGGGTTTTGCAGGAAGGCGTGAGCACTGTCAGGATCCCGTTTAGCAGCAATTACAGGCCAAGGAGCACTTCACAGCTCCTGAAGAGACCCCTTTGCAAACCGTCTCAGAACGGGTTCCCTCCACTCCTGTCTTGCAGTGTAATCAGAGCTCGGGGCCTTGTTGGCCACATGCCACGGTCATGGCTTGACCTAAGACTTGGGGACTGGTCTGGGCACGGACTTGCTCTCCAGTGTCATAGTTTATGTTAAAAATTCATGTGAATTTTCATTTTACTCCATGATGTATCGGCGTTGGCTTGAATACTAAAATCTTTCTCTCACACACTCAGACACACGCAGACACATGTAGACATGCGCAGACACACGCAGACACAGACACACGCAGACACACAC